TCCGAGCCCGGCAGGTCCCGTGGCCCCCCGGGCCGGCCCGGCTGCTGACGGATGGTAATGAGACCCGGGGAGTCTGATGAAGCTCATTTTTCACCTGCATGTGTTTTCGCCTCCCCGCTCTCACGAGGTGGCTGGCCGTCCATCCTGGAGCCCTTCCGAGGCCTCGGCGGTAATGGGGTCATATATCACTCTCTGGTGGAGACAGAGCTGGACAGGGGAGGGGGGCCATTAAGAATGTCCGCGGGTGACCCCCAGGCCAGGACGGCTCCAGCTCCGGCTCCAGACCGGGCCACATGGCCTTGAACCTAGGGTGGAGGGGGGCATGGGGTGTTTTCAGGGCTGGCTCAAGCCCTGTGGGGGAGGGGTGGCTGGGGGCAAACTCTCATTCCCCGAGGGTACACCCAGGGTGGGTGTCACTCTTCGGGGCTGTCTGGGCCTCCTGTGGCCATGGGACAGTGGCCCTTCTGGTCAAGACCTCTCTGACAGGTCAGGGTTGAGGGGACACTGGCTCAGAGACCACCACCCCCTTTCACGCTGTTTAAAGCTGGTGGCTCAGGTGGAGCCCTCCCACATGCCTTTCCCCTATTTGGGCTCAGTGCTGCAGCCAGCAGAGCCGAACAAGGCCCTGACATTGTGACAGGTGCCTGGCCCAATACGTCCTGCCTGCCTGCCTGACCCCAGGACAGACGGTTGATTCTATCGGGAGAGCCAGATGCCGCCTGGATCAAACCTGGCCGCACCATCTTACTGTGCACATGAATGAGTCTCTTGCCCTGTCTTACCTCAGTTTCCCCATAGGCGAAATGAGATAATAATAATGATAATGCCAGGCGCAGTGGCTCACGCCTGTAATTCCAGCACTTTAGGAGGCTAAGGCGAGTAGATCACCTGAGGTCAGGAGTTCGAGACCAGCCTGGCCAACATGGCGAAACCCCGTCTCTACTAAAAATACAGAATTAGCCGGGCATGGTGGTGGGTGCCTGTAAAGTCGCTTGAACCTGGGACGCAGAGGCTGTAGTGAGCTGCAGTTGCGCCATTGAACTCCAGCTTGGGAGACAGAGCAAGATTCCGTCTCAAATGACGATGATGATGATAATCATGACATAACCTAACTCACAGGGGTTTGTGATGGTAAGCTGAGCTGTTGCCATGACGGGCTATGTATGGCAGCTGGGCACCTAGTGCCACGGAAGTGGGATCTGTGGCTGTCATCCTCATTGTCATTGTGGGGGCTCACAGTATGGCTTCTGGTCCCAGCTGTGTCGGCTCTGTGACCTTCAGGAGATGCTAAACCCTCTCTGGGCCTAAGTTTTATAACCTGAGTGTTGAGCATGCCTGTGTCGGTGGTCAGGAAAGATGACCCCACTTAGTGAGTGCTGGAAACAGCCCCCAACCCACACTGCCCTCCTGGGACACTCCTTCCAGAGGCTTCTCCTGGAGTTGTCACCAGATTTTACCCTATGGGTGCTGGAAGGGAGGGAGGGCACCCGGGTACTATCTCTGGGATGCCTCTTGGGGCAGCCCTGCTCCTGCCTGTGGCTGGGTGGACTTTGGAAGAGACAACTGGACAGCTCCCTCGGAAGGTTCTGGGGCTCCCTGGGGTCACACAGCATCACCCAGGGCCTTCTAGCACCAGCTCCCTGAGTTCTTGATAATTTGAATGTGAGGTTCTCAGGAACCATTTGAAGGAGAGAAGGGAGGGATAGTGGGTGCCCCGGCCACTGCCCGACTGCCATGGTCCCTGCATGGCCCGTGGATGGCCCTTCCAGCCCAGAAGCCACAGGTACCAGAGTCCCGCACAGGCTATGCACGACAGACACCAGGCCTAAGGAGCGGGGGAGTCCCCTGTACCTGTGTTCCAGCCCCAGGTCCCTTCTGAGTCTCACACCCAGTGACTCCCCAGAGCCCCCTACCTCCCTGGTGCCTTGATGTGTGCCACAGCCTCTGGAGCGCTGAGAGTGCTGCAAGGTCTGGCCCCAGCCTCCTTCCTAGTCCCCTGGCTCAACCCCCCAACTCATGCTGAAGCCCTTGTGGCCCCTGCTCTGTGGTGTCCTGCCCCAGGGCCTTTGCACCTGCTATCCCTTCAGCCTGCAATGCTCTTTCCACAGAACTTTGTAGGACTGACTTCTTCCTGACCTTACGGCCTCAGCTCAAAGGTCACCTCCTCAGTGAGGCCTTCCAGGATCATCTGACCTGGTAGCCCGTCTCCTCTAGGACTCACCTGCTCTCATGTTACCTTGGGCTGCTTTCTTCCTCTTACTTACCACCAACTATCCAAAACTGTCCTTTTCATTGATTTTCTTCTTTTAAAAATCTTTCTCTTCCTTAGTTAGAACATAAGCTTTGTGAGAGCTCGTTCATCTGTGTAGTTCACTCTGTGTCACCAAAACACATTAGGGATAGTGCTTGGTAGAGAGTAGGTAAGTACTTATTGGCTAAACAAATGGGTGAATGAAAACAGCTAAGTGGATATTTGCATGGACGGGTGATTGGATAGATGGATGGGTGGGTGGGTAGATGGACGGATGGATGGATGGATGGATGGGTGGGTGGGTGGGTGGATGGATGGATGGATAGATGGATGGATGAAGGGATGGATGGGTGGGTAGATGGGTGAGTGGATCCATGGGTGGATGGATGGATGGATGGATGGATGAATGGATGGATGAAGGGATGGATGGGTGGGTAGATAGGTGAGTGGATCCATGGGTGGATGGATGGGTGGATGGATGGATGGATGGATAGATGGATGGATGGATGGGTGGGTGGATGGGTGGATGGATATGGATGGATGGGTGGGTGGATGGATGGGTGGGTGGGTGGATGGGTGGATGGGTGGATGGATATGGATGGATGGATGGGTGGGTGGATGGATGGATGGATGGATGGGTGGGTGGATGGGTGGATGGGTGGATGGATATGGATGGATGGATGGGTGGGTGGATGGATGGATGGATGGATGGGTGGGTGGATGGGTGGATGGATATGGATGGATGGATGGGTGGGTGGATGGATGGATGAAGGGATGGATGGGTGGGTAGATGGGTGAGTGGATCCATGGGTGGATGGATGGGTGGATGGATGGATGGATGGATGGGTGGGTGGATGGGTGGATGGATATGGATGGATGGGTGGGTGGATGGATGGATGGGTGGGTGGATGGATGGATGGATGGATAGATGGATGGATGGATGGGTGGGTGGATGGGTGGATGGATATGGATGGATGGATGGGTGGGTGGATGGATGGATGAAGGGATGGATGAGTGGGTAGATGGGTGAGTGGATCCATGGGTGGATGGATGGGTGGATGGATGAAGGGATGGATGGGTGGGTAGATGGGTGAGTGGATCCATGGGTGGATGGATGGGTGGATGGATGAAGGGATGGATGGGTGGGTAGATGGGTGAGTGGATCCATGGGTGGATGGATGGGTGGATGGATGAAGGGATGGATGGGTGGGTAGATGAGTGAGTGGATAGGTGGATGGATCGATGGATGAACGGTGGATGGGTGGGTAGGTGGGTGGATGGATAAATGGATGGATGAATGGGTAGGTAGATGGATAGATGGGTGGACGGGTAGATAGATGGGAAGGAAGGAAGAAAGGAAGGGAGGGAGGAAGGGAAGGAAGAGCAGGCAACATCTGAGCTTCTTTCCTTCCCTTGACTCAGTTCTGACTGTTGATGAAGGAGTGGGGCAGCTGGTGGCTCTGCCTTGGGGGTTGGGTTGAGCCAGGACAAGTGACTGGAGATGAGGTTGTGGTTAGATGGGGGATCCCTGGGCAGAGTCACAGGTCCCAAATCCTACAAGGTAGAGAAGTCTTTGGGAACATTATCATCAGGAAAACGAGAGAGAGAACACTGTTGCACGACGTCCAAGGTGATCTCTCAACCATGGAATGGCCCTCAGTGGCCGAGAAAAGGGGCTCAGGCTCTGAAGGCCCCCAGCTAGGTCCTGGGGAGAGAAGGGACTGACCAGCAGTGGGGGCCAGGCAGTGTCTGAGGCCTTCTGGCAGAGCATTTCAGAACAATAAAGGTGCCCGGCTTTATGTCTGATCATTCAGAAGCTGCCAGGGGCCAGGGCCACTGGTCACGTCTGTTATCCCAGCACTTTGGGAGGCCAAGGTGGGTAGATCACTTGAGTTCAGGAGTTCGATTCCAGCCTGGCTAACATGGTGAAACCCCGTCTCTACTAAAAATACAAAAATTAGCTGGGTGTGTTGGTGGGCACCTGTAATCCCAGCTACTCAGGAGGCTGAGGCAGGAGAATCACTTGAACCCAGGAGGTGGAGGTTGCAGTGAGCTGAGATTGCACCACTGCACTCCAGCCTGGGTGATAGAGCAAGACTCTGTCTCAAAAAAAAAAAAAAAAAAAAAAGCAGCTGCTAGGGTCATGCTGGGACTGAGGGTGGGGATCACATGTTATTTTCATCTGGTTTGCATGCAGGTGGTGTAAACCTGGGTGTGCAAAGCATCTTCCTGTGGCCATGTCTGCCTCCGTCCTCCATCCCTCCTACCATTTGTCACTGTCCTAGAGAGCCTCAGGCAGAGAGAACAATCTCCTGCTCTCACAGCTGAGCCCCCAAGATCCTCTCTTCCACATACAGAAGAGAGGCCCTTCCTAACACATCATTGAGGCCCTTCCTGCTTGGAGCCCTTTGCCTGAACCCATTGAATCCCCGCAAGCCTGCCAGGCAGGTGCTGGTATTGCCCCCATTTAATAGAGAAGCAGACTGAGGCCCAGGGAGGGGCATGACTGGCAAACAGCTGCATGGCAGGTGGGCCCATGCTTAGTGGGTCTGGGCACTGAGGTCTTATATAGACCCTGTGGAGTCAGGCTCTTTGTCTTGTTTTACCCAAGGGGAAACTGAGGTGTGACTGAAGCCAGAGAAGGGACAGATAGAGAGAGAGAGAGAAGAAAGTGCCAGCAGCGGTCCCTGGGCCTCGGCTGGGGTTCAGCTGCACTTCAGGCCTAGACAGTGCGGATTACTTATCCATCTGTTTATAAGATGGTTTATTTGTAGTTATGATGGATGCATAATAGTCATACAAAAGGACCTCTATTCCTATACATACTTCTGTGTCCCCAGAATCTGGGACGGTCACTGGCACACAGTAGGTACTCCAAAACACTCATGGCCTGTGGCTTTGTGCCGTCAGGGGCACAGCTCTGCTGACGTTGGGGTGGGGTCTTCATTCACCTGCCCAGGAGGAGTTGTCCATCAACAGTCAGGGATGGAGCCTCCTTTGCTTTCTGGTAACAAGATCAGGGTCAGATTCCTGCTAGGTGGGGGGCACCCCATGCCCCCCCAGTGCTGTGGCCTGGCCAGGGCAGCTAGGCCCCCTTCGAGCCCTAATTCAAAGAGCTAGCTTTGTGTCCTGCCATATAACAATATGATGGGTTAGGGTCAAGCTGTGGTCCCATAACTTGTTGGAAGGCATTTCAGAACAATAAAGGTGTCGGGCTTTATGTCTGCTCATATTTCATCCTGGCTATGGCCTCTCCTGCTCACTCGCCTTGGATTTACTGTGTGGGTATTTTAAATGGGGTGAGCTTGGATGCTAGCGCTCCTGCACCCCCACCTCGTCCCCCTCCGCCCAGCTCTGGGAGCCTGGCCCCAGCCCGAACCTCGCGCCGGCCTCGCGTGCTGAAATATTTACCTCCCGGCTCCTCTGACAGCCGGAGCTGTCTCCTGAAACAAAGGTTATTGGACTGCGAATGTTATGACATTACATTTCTGTGTCTGCACTTTGGAGCTGCGTCATGCTGGCAGAAAGACAAGCTCTGGGCTGGGCCGAGCAGAGGGGCCGGGCACCACAGGGAATTGATAGCGGTTCACTTTCCTACGGCGCCTTCACGGCCCCTCTGCCCGCCCTGGGAGTTGACAGGACAAGGCGCCAGCCTCCTTGGCTGCGGCTGCTTAGCTGGTTTGACGCTGTCAGCTCCCAAGGCCCCCCAGCCGGCAGCCCCAGCACCCATCAGAAAGGGCCAGGATGGAGCAGGGCAGATCCACAGCAGCAGCAAGAGTGGTTGCAGCAGCCCCCACGGCACAGAGCTGTGACATTCCAGGTAGTGTGCAAACACATCCGGGCATTAATGCATGTCACACACGCCCACCCTAAGAAGCAGGCATTTTTACCTCTTTTGTCGGTCGAGTAAACCGAGGCACAGAACGGTCGTGACTAGCTGTATTGTCCCCTGTGGCTGTGGTAACAAAGTACCACAAACCAGGGGGCTGAAAGATTTCTTCTCCTGCAGTTCTGGAGGTCAGAAGTCCCAAATCAAGGGGTCGCCAGGGCCACACTCCGCCTGGCAGGTCCAGCCAGCCGTGATTCCTGCTCTTCCGGTCTCTGGCGGCTTCAGCATTCCTCGGCTTGCGGCGGCATCACGTGATGACAGGTGGCTGCAGTCATCACGTGACCGTCTTTCCCCTGTGTCTGTGTCCCAGTTCCCCTCCTGTTATAAGGACACCGGCCGTCATTTAATATACACCCACATTTTCACCTGATGCCATCTGCAGAGACCGTTTCCAAGTAAGACCCGATTCACAGGTTCCAGGGGGATGTGAATTGGTGGTGGAGCGGGGACACTATTCCCCAGGCTGTCTGTAGCAGATGCTTGTGGGGCCACACCTGCATGTCCCCCACTGGTCTCAGAGCTCACCTGCAGATGGCTCTGTAGAACCCGGTGGCTTCTGGGCTTCCATGCTGGAACCTGTTCCCGGGCTGCCCCCGACTCACGCAGGCTGCAACTTATGTGCCAGGAGGTGGTGGGTGTCCCCAGGAGTCACTCCCACCCAAGAAGGAAAGGTGCTGGTGGATACCTCCCCATCATCCCCATGCTTCCTGGGGACTCTTCTCTCCCAGGGACACCTCGTGGCCTGTTCAGCGTGGCCCCTGTAGGTTTCCTTCCCAGCCTTACTCCCCAGTCCCTCCCTTCCCGGGATTCCCTCCCAGATCAGCTCCCTGCCCTTGATCCTTGTCCTGGGATCCGCTTCTGGAGGATCCCGAACAAAGACAGTATGAATACTGATAATGGAACAGCCGCACAGGGCATCGACGACACACGGGCAGCTGACTGCTTTCAGGCCTACAGCAGGCCTGGCAGGGAGAGTCGCCAGATTCAGAAAGAAAAAAAAACAAGGCGCCTAGTTAAATGTCAACTTTACATAAATGACAACTACCTTTTAACGTAGGTGCGTCCCGTGCAATAGTCAGGCTATACTTAGTTCTTAAAACATCCACCGCTTCGGGCTGGGGAGGGGTGGGAGCGGGACCTCCGACGGATGTGGAGCTCTCTTTGGAGCAGTCCCTACAGCCTGAGATGAACCGTGGTGAGTCGCTGCCCGGTGCCTTGAGTTTGCCAAAGTGTACCCAACCGTGCGCCTTCAGTGGCATCACAGGCTGCGTGGGTCATCTAGTAACAAAGCTGTTATGCTGAAAAAGGTATTTGTTGTTTATCTGAAATTTAAGTTTCACTGGGCGGCCTGCATTTTATCAGGCAATCCTACTCGGGGGTAGGTTCTCCCACTATCTCCGTTTCAGATGAGGAAGCTGAAGGCCAGCCACATATCACAGCCAGGACTTGTAGAAGGGACTGGAACCCAGAAGCCCAGCCCCCTTCTCTTTTTTTTTCTGAGACAGAGTCTTCCTCTCTCGCCCAGGCTGGAGTGCAGTGGTGCGATCTCGGCTCACTGCAACCTCCGCCTCCTGGGTTCAAGTGATTCTCCTGCCTCAGCCTCCCTAGTAGCTGGGACTACAGGTGCCTGCCACCATACCCGGCTAATCTTTTTTTTTAGTAGAGATGAGGTTTCACCATATTAGCCAGAACGGTCTCGATCTGACCTTGTGATCCACCTGCCTTGGCCTCCCAAAGTGCGGGGATTACAGGCGTGAGCCACCGCGCCCGGCCGATTCCTTAACTCGTAGGGAGTGTTCAGGGAAGATGGAGCCTGAGGCTGGAGAGGCAGAAAGGCGGTTGGGGTCAGGCTGGCTGATTCTGAATGTATAGGGATGCCCTACGAGGTCTCTCCATCTACCCAGAGGCAGAGTGCATGTCTCTGAGCAAGGGAATCCTAATGTGGCTGGGTGGAGCCTGGGTTGCTCTCATCCTTTCCCTGCCTCTTTGGGCTTGGCCTCCTCCCTCAGATAAGGACCAGAGGCTGGTCAGAGGGAGGAGGATCAGATAGAGCCCCTGTCAAGGCGCCTGCAGTCATTGCTTCTCACAGGCAGCTGCCTCTTGGAGGTCAGAAGGGAAACTGAGCCAGGCATAGTGGTGCGTGCCTGTAATCCCAGCACTTTGGGAGGCTGAAGTGGGAGGATCACTTGAGGCCAGCAGGTCAAGGCTGCAATGAACTGTGATTAGGCCACTTCACTCCAGCCTGGGCAACATAGCAAGACCCTGTCTCAAGAAAAGGGAGGCAGGGACGCAAAATATGTGAACTTCAGGCTGTCTGAGGCCTCTGGCAAGAGAAGAGCTGCAGGGAGGCCAGGGGCCACAAGCTCCCAGGGCTCCCAGCCCAAATGACCTGGTGTCTGTGATGGATGCACCATCCCCTTGAATCCCAAAAGCAGAAATGTCTGATGTCATTACAGCTCCATCCCGCACAGTAAACAGCAGGCAGTAGGTGCTTAATAAATGTCTCTCCTATTGCCTCCATCTCCCGGAGCTGAAGGGGTGGGAAGCAGCTGGGAGGGTGTTATGCCAGCTTCATTTTGCAGAGACTACTGCGGAGTCCCAAAGAGCCACCTGTCCCTGACTGAGATAGGTCCTCAACCTTCCGGAACAGCCTTCAGGCTCCTGTGTGATTTCGATATCATCCCAGTCTCCAAAGGCACGGGACTTACACCCAGGAGGCAGCAGGCAGTCCAGGGCGCTGATCTTCTGGGAGTGTAGTCCAGAGTGAGGTGCCCTGCTCAGGCCCCCTCTGTCTATTTCCCCACTGCCCCCCAGCCTGGTGGCTGGGCTGGACCTGGGGGCTTGGGGTCCCCCCAGTGGGCAGGTGGGCCTTCTCGCCGCCAGGGGGCAGCAGGGGTTTGGCCGCCAGCCTGTGCCCCACAGTCCTGATGTAAGCCCACTGGGGCAGGGCGGGCCTGGGGAGCTCCAGGCGTCCTGGGCAAGGCCTGCAGGCAGTGTGGAGTGCACCCCTTGGGGGCCCGCAGGACACTTTCCATCTGCCTGGGAGTGTCGGGCCGCTGGTCACTGGGCGGGGATACTGTTCTGGCTTGCTGCTGGCCTCCAGGCTGTTGACCCCCTGGGAGAATGAACATTCGGGCTGGGCTGTGGGGGGTCAGGGAAGGCTCAGCCCTGACTGCTGATGAAAAACACAGACATCTGCCGGGGAGAGGCGGGGCCGGAGGGTGGGAGGCAGCCAGGGGCTGGAGGGTGGGAGGCAGCCAGGGGCCGACAGCCAGGGAGGGAGCCAGGTCAAGGCCTGAGAAATTAAATGTTCATAAATGTAGGCCTGGCACTTGCAAAGTAGGGCAAAGCCATTAGTGTTCATTAAAGTTTAATACCTGTCGGTGCTGGTGCAGCCCCGCCGGACGCTGCTCTAATTTGATGGGTGTAGAGGGAGAATTCTCAAATAATCGGGGAGGTCGGGGCTGGCTTCTGTGATGTTCACAGGGAGCGTCACTTTAAAGCACATCATTGGAGTGATTTCCTCAGATGAGGAATCACTCTGCCTTATGGACCCTCCCCATGCCCATTTGTGAGGTCGCTGGTTTAGTCCTGGATGGGCTGCAGCCCCCACCTTCCCACTCCTGTCTGCAAGATCACCTTGAGATTCCAGGCCCCGCCGGGAGCCAGGGTCTTCTCCCTCTGAAAGCCTGGGGATTCGTATTAGCTCATTTGTCTTTGTTGGAGCAGAAGCCCCGTCCGTCTCCCCCAAAAGCGTCTCTTTTTCTACAGCAGAGCAAACCTTTCTTCTCCGGTTACCTGCTGCCTGCAGAATTCCAGCCTTCCCCGGGCATTCCCCTCCCTGCCAGCCCTGGCTTCTTGGGCACATGGTTTCTGGCACAAAAATTGGCCTAGACTCGGGATGGATGAATGGTCTGGAGGAAGCACTCTGGAAGCTCCATGGGGCAGGCTAGAGGCATCCAGGGAAGGCTCCCTAGAGGAGGCGGCCTTGAAGGACAAGGACATATAGGCATTAGGCCTGCGGAGGGAAACACCTGGGCATTCTTGATGAGGGGAATGGGGCAAGGGGTGGGCGGCAGGGCGGGCAGAGACTGGGACACCTAGACAGAGGAAGGTTGTAGGCTGGGGTGTCTAGACACCAGGCTGGGGATGAACAGGAAGGAGGGTCCAGGGCAAGCTGGGGCAGGCCCTGCATGCCTGGCTGAGGACCTGAACATTACCCCGAATCCCTGGGAATGAATGGAAGCGAATGGACAGGTAAAATCTATACCAGACCCAGAAAAGTCCCAGTCCCAAGCTGCTGAGGCTTCAGGACAGTGGCGCCTGCTGAGCGTGTTAAAAAGGAGGGAGAAGGCCAGAGGCAGTGGCTCACACCCGTAATCCCAACACTTTGGGAGGATGAGGTGGGTGGATCACAAGGTCAGAAGTTCGAGACCACCCTGGCCAACCCAGTGAAACCCCATCTCCACTAAAAGTACGAAAAAAGTATTAGCCACATATTTTGGCATGGGCCTGTAGTCCCAGCTGCTCGGGAGGCTGAGGCAGGAGAATCACTTAAACCCGGGAGGCAGAGGTTGTGTTGAGCCGAGATCGCACAAGGCACTCCAGCCTGGGCAAAAGAGAGTGAGAATCAAAAAAACTAAGGAGGAAGGAACAGCAGGTGACATGATCAGCCCTGCTGTGTGCCAGGCTCCGCACGTGAGAAGGGCTGTTGGATTCTCCCATCTCACAGCTGGGCACACCGAGGCCTGAGAGTGGGCGCAGGCTGCCAAGCGTGGAGCGGAGATGCAAAGGGGCATCATCCCTGAGCCTCCAGGCCTGGCCATGCTGGACACATGCTGGTGTGTTTGCTGCCTGGAAACACCCTCCCAGCGCCCAGCTCCGAAGCTCTGGCTTTGGCTGGGCACCATGCCAGCCCTGGCCACGGCGGCTCCAGACCTCCCTTTCTCTCCAGGCCTCCCGAGAAAGCCCTTTGCATCTTTTGACTCACCCTGAACAAATGCTCCCTCCCTCTGTCACGTCCGCCCTCCCTTGCCCACGCTCTCAAGGGGCCTGCCCAGAACAGCTCCTAAATCATCCCGCCTGCCTCCTCCTGGCTTCCTCCTGGCGCCCTCCCACCCTGCCCTGGCTCTGCCCTGTTCCCAGGCTGCCCTGGAGCAGAGCCAGCCCAGCGATGGGGAGAAAGGAAAACCAGCCAGCCCCCAACAGAAGGGCTCCATGGGGATGTCCTGGCAGCCTGAGTCCCCCCTGGCCTGCAGGCCCCGCAGCCCTGTTCCTTGGCTGGTATGTCCTCTGAGCCTCGAGATGCTCTGGGAATTTTTCTGCTTTCTTCTCCTGAGCTTGCTGCTTCTAGAACCTTCTCTTGGATATGAACAAGGCTAATGAGAGCTTCAGCCCCAGGTGGCCTGTTCCCAGCCTCAGTCTGTCCAGCTCAGCCACAGCCCACACTTCATGTAGGAAAACTCACTGGGACCCCGTGGGCAGGAGGGAGGACTCACCGGGCTGTTCCTCTCCTGCCCCGCCGGTCTCCTCCCCAGTTCCCCAAGCCTGGTGGGGCAGGAGGATAACACTGTCTCCTGCGCACTCAGCCTCTCCCTGCTGCCCAGGCCCTGGGGCGGGGGGAGTTGGGAGTGGGCGGCTGTGTCGTTTGGAGAGATGGGAAATATTAGGCCATGGCTCCATGCAGACAGGCCCTGGCTTGAACTCCTGCAGTGTGGATTAGCTGCGATCTTAATGCCAAAACACCTCCCATTGGCTGTTTCCATGCCCCTCCCACCACCCCAGCAC